GTTTGTCTGGATTCCAGTAACAAATCTTGTCTGTAACTTTAGCACAATGACTTAAAAAAAAATTTTTTTTTTGTAAAATGGAGAACATACGCACTTAACAATAGAATACAAATGCCATCCCCTCTTGGGGCATGAGATAAAGAAACATGACTTACGTGATAAATTTTAAAGCCGATTGCTTAGATTTCCTGTTTAACTGTCATAAAATGTACAGTCTCTCTATGTTTACATTAAGAGACACATACACAGTTGTTACTACGTATTGATGGTTATGTTATATAAGAGCAGTAATTGGTCCTTTCCATGACTTTGTGATATGGAATAGGTAGCAGCAGTCACACTGACCACGTACTCAATGTCAAGGAGGCAGGCAGAGGGGAAGGACCTTCGAGGAGGGAGGGATCAGTCACTTTGGGGACATGTAAGAATATGAACATTCAGGGGGTGCCTGTGTGGCTCAGTCGGTTAAGTGTCTGGCATTTGGTCAGGTCATGACCTCACAGTTCATGAGATTGAGCTCTGTGTCGGGGTCTGGGCTAATAGCACAGAGTCTGCTTAGGATTCCCTCTCTCCTTCTCTCTCAGCCCCTCCTGGAGGTCACGGTCACTCTTTCTCTCTCAAAATAAATAAATAGACTTGAAGAAGAAGAAGAAGTAGAAGTAGAAGTAGAAGTAGAAGAAGAAGAAGAAGAAGAAGAAGAAGAAGATGATTCAGCTCAGTCAGAAAGGAAAGCCCATGGATCAAGGGAGAGAGCTCTATTGAAAACAGTAGTCTCATGCTTTCAACACAGCTGTGTTGAGCCAAAGTTCAAGTTCACCTGCTTCTCTCAGCATTAAGTTAGAGACAAATACCACAATATGGCATTTCTATGTTCATTCTTGTGATCACTGTCCATCCACTTTGTTCCTATCTTGAATTATTATTATTATTATTATTATTATTATTATTTTGAGTTCTGGGGTTACTGTTACCTTTGGAAAACTTTTTTGCATATGGTTGTTTCTCTGAATATTATGCTACTATTGATGCAAGTGTCCTCAAAGCCAGTCAAAATGAAGGAAGAAAACTAGCATTTATTAGACCCCTCTTATGTGTTTGGCACTATTCTGAGTGTGTTACTCGGGTTGTGTGTTTTAGGCCCTACTAACACCTCGGTGTGGGGGGCATGATTATCATCCCAGTGTCCAGAGGAAGGAGCAGATGCTGAGAAAGGTGTGCTGGGTTCCGCAGAGTCATGAGGTGAACGGCAGGTTGTAAACCCTCAGCCTCTCCATCCTCTTCCCTTCTGTGAGCCTGCGGCTGCCTTACACTTTCTAGAAAACTCCATTGTCGGTGCTGAACTACAGTAACAACAACAACAAAATAACAAACCAGACAGCCATTTATTGTACTCCTATTGGGGATCATCATTTTTTAAATAAATTCTTTGACTTTTATTCATTTATTTATTTTGAGAGAGACAGAGTGTGCATGGGGGGAGGGGCAGAGAGAGAGGGAGACACAGAATCCGAAGTGGGCTCCACACTGTCAGCACAGAGCCGGACACAGGGCTGAGATCATGACCTGAGTCGAAATCAAGACTCGGACGCTTAACGGTCTGAGTCACCCAGGTGCTCCGAGTCATGCATCATCATTCATTTTATCCCTAGAATAGCAGCTCTACGTGGTTGGTATAATTTCCCAATTTTATTGCTCAGGAGACCGGGCTGGAATATAAATCTGGCTTTCTTCAGTGAGGAAATTTTCTCTTGAAAGAAAGTGCGCTCAGTGACATAGATGATGCACCTTATTTCCTTGAAGACCTGTCTAGACAGTTTGAAGACTATGCTTGGAGTAGCACTGGCTCAGCAAGGTCAAGTAAATCACTGACAGTCTCACAAGTAATGAGCGGAAGAGACAGGCTTCCAAACCAGCTCAGCCCTGTGCTCTCTCCCAGCACAGGGAGATGAATGAGGCGATCGCCCCAGCAAATAGCCTCCGCGGTGTGTTCTCTCTCCCGTTCCTTGCCATGATTTGGCAGTAAGTATGTTACACAAGACCAGGTGCTTTTGTAAATGATCTGTTAGAATTATAGAAGAGTGTGATACTAGTACATAGTAATTTGTGGAAGAGAGAGTAAGGTTTCCCCCAAGAAAGTAAGGGAAGTACTTTGAGGGGCACCTGGGTGGCTCAGTCTTTTAGGTGTCTGACTTCGGCTCAGGTTGTGATCTCACGGTTCATGAGTTCGAGCCCCATGTTGGGCTCTGTGCTGACAGCGTGGAGCCTGCTTGGGCTTCTTTCTCTCCCCCTCTCTGCTCCTCCCCCCACTCATGCTCACACACTCTCTCTCAAAAATAAATAAATAAACTATAAAATATATTTTTAAAAAACTTTAAAAATGTCCTTTCCGGGTGCTGTGTGGCTCTGTCGGTTAAGCACCCAACTTCAGCTCAGGTCATGGTCTCATGGTTCATGGGTTCGAGCCCCACGTCAGGCTCTGTGCTGACAGCTCAGAGCCTGAAGCCTGCTTCAGATTCTGTGTCTCCCTCTCTCTTTCTCCCTCTGCCCTTCCCCTGCTCTGTCTATGTCTCTCTTAAAAATAAACAAACATTAATAAAATTTTTTAACTTGTCCTTTGAATGAAATTCACACATATCATGGATAGACTTGACCATCAGTGGGAGTGAATCGAGAGACCAGTGAACACATGTGCATCGAGAAGTGTGGAAACACCCATGTATCACTCGCAGTGTCCTGGAAGCACCCTCAGAGAGCCAGCCTGGTTGCAGTTTCACCAGCAAAAACCCAGTCTGATGTGCTGGGCCCTGTCCAGACTGACCTTACGCTCCAATTGGCAGCCATGAACCTTTTCTTCCTGGGACAGGAAGTCAGGGACTGGGAGCCGGCAGTCCTGTCGTGAGGCAACTGTGAGTCATCACAGCTTCTCAGGCTTGGATGAAATCTCTCCCAAAACAATTCCTGCCCTCCAAGCTTTGACTTAGTGTTCTTCAAGCAGTCTTTTGGTGCAACATTTCCCAGATGCCTCCCCATCAGAAAAGGGGGTGCCCTGGACAGGAGTCACAGGGATCCTAGCAAAAGCAAGGAAATGTCCAAGACTGTACGTCAATGCATTAGAATTTGGGTTTGTATATGTAAACTTCTTACGAATGTGCTTCCTACAAGTCAGTCTGCTGGAGACAGATGAACCCGGGGGTCCTGATACGGCTCAGTTTCTAGACCAAGACTAGAGCCAGGTTCGTGACGCTATCACCCTTGAAGGGGTCTGAGGGGCTGCTGGCCAGATGCTGTCACTCTCAATGCTCTTCTTTCCAGCCTTCAAGAACAAGCACGATGGTTGGCTACATAAATGTCAGGAAACAAGTAAAAAGTCAGAGAAAATAAGCAAACTTTTTAGAAGGCTAAAAGTGAATCCAATGGCACACGTATTGAGAGAATAGTAAGAACCAGGTAATTCAGAAAAGTGACAAAGGGTGGGGCACCTGGGTGGCTCAGTCGGGGAGGGCGGTCATCAGTGCACAGCACAGCTTGCCTGTTGCAGGTACATCCCCACCTGGTTCAGTGCAGCCGTCTCCAGGGGAACCTATATCCGAATCTACTTCCCATTGACGGTAAAGGGACAGTCCTCCGTGTTTGTATTGACGAATCCCTCTATCATTTTTGCTTTCTTGTTCTCCAACTCCATGAAAGAAGAGAAAGTGGATTTATTCATTTCTTACTGAAAAAACAACTGTGAATGCCTTTTAGATGGTAGGTTCTTGGTTGATGTTGTAGAAAAACGGTGACAGAGCTGTTGTCTCAGTGTTAACAAAGCTCACAGTGTCCCCAGGAAGATAACTTCTAAAAAGTAATCAGAAGAGAGGCACCTAGGTGGCTCAGTTGGTTAAGCGTCTGACTTCGGCTCATGTCATGATCTTACGGTTCGTGGGTTCAAGCCCCACATCCGGCTGTGTGCTGACGGCTCAGAGCCTGGAGCCTCCTTTGGACTCTGTGTTTCCCTCTCTTTCTGCCCCTCCCCTGTTCATGCTCTGTCTCTGTCTCTCTCTCTCACACAAATGAACATTTAAAAAACAAAAGTAATCAGAAGACAGTGTCAACTTGCTGTAGCTCACACGATGAACAACTTTGGGTTTCAAGGAGCCGGCTTCCGGATCAGTGCAAATACCAGCATTGTGCATTCGCTCCCTGCATCTGGAGAGCCCCTTCCGTTAACTCGCTGCAAACACATGAGATAATAGCAGCAATTATGGGGGAAGATTTTTTTGATTCCGGTTCATGAAGCTGGAAACGCTTTGTTTCTCTTTCATATCGCAACTGTGTTTTGTTTCCTGTCTAATCACCCATGTTGATGTTTTAAAGTGGGCAGGAGGATAGATTTTATGTATTTTGCTCCCAGCTGTGTCATTAAGGGCAATTAATTTCCTTCGGGTTGAAGTGAATGGGGTACAGGACCTCAGGAGCCCTGTGGGCTGTTTAGGTTTGCCAACACGAAACGTGACTTTTAGCAAAAATCTCATCAAAACAGGCTGGATTGGGTAATTTTGTAGGGGCCTCTGTGATTTATATATGAAATTATATAGTCGATGGGTCAACAGTAAAAATCAATGACTAGTTGGGGCACGTGGGTGGCTCAGTCAGTTAAGCGTTGGATGCTCAGTTTCAGCTCAAGTCATGATCTCATGGTTGATGAGTTCGACCCCCATGTTGGGCTCTGTGCTGACAGTGCAGAATCTGCCTGGGATTCTCTCTCCCCCTCTCTCTACCCCTCACCTGCTCACACCGTCTCTGTCTCTCTCAAAATAAATAAACAAACTTTAAAAAAGTCAGGGACTAGCAACTTAAAAGAAAAATCTTATTGCAATGACAGACTGTAGACTAATCTTGATGTAGAACAATGCATCCAAAACAATAGAGAGATATGTTCTATGCTACCACTCATTGTTCTTATCTATCCAGCTTAAATAAGTCATCCAATGTCCAAAAAAGTGTTAGCACTAGCAAAAACTTGGTAGAAGTTCAAAGTTTACTGCGTACTTTTATTCATAATCCTCACAACAGATGAAGAAACTGAGGTTGGGACAGCCTGAGGTCTTTTTCCACAGATACACCGATGCCAAAGGTAGCCCAGCCGTCAGGATTCACATGTACATCTGCTCCCTGTGAATTCAGTGTTTTTGTGTTTCAACACGCTGCTTCCCAAAGTGTTTCACACATTTGAGGAAATTCTTAGGAGAATGCTGCTTTCAGCCACGTGCTGGAGATACGGGACCCCGTGGTGTTTGCATTGAGGTTGGTCTAGGATAGGAGATGACTGGGGCTGCCCTGGCCTGCAGGCCTGATGGTCTGGGGGGACTCGAAGGGTGACCTTGAAGTTGGGACTTCCAGATCTCCTCTTCTCCAGGAGGCTGACCACATGCAGGTTTGAAGTTTGCCGGCAAAAATAGCAAAGGAAAGAAAGGATTCTAATGAAATACCGTTAACAAAGCCAGTGGGTTCTTAAGGACCCTTGAAGGGTTTACGGAGATGTACTCTACGTAACAGAGCCCCACGTCAGGCTCTGTGCTGACAGCACGGAGCCTGCTTGGGCTTCTGTCTCCCTTTCTCTCTGCCCCTCCGCCCTCTCAAAAATAAGTAAATAGGGGCGCCTGGGTGGCTCAGTCAGATGCGTATCTGACTTCAGCTCAGGTCATGATCTCATGGTTTGTGGGTTTGAGCCCCGCATTGGGCTCTGTGCTGAACTCTTGCTCAGAGCCTGGAGCCTGCTTCATATTCTGTATCTCCTTCTCTCTTTGCCCCTCCCCACTCACAATCTGTCTCATTCTATCTCTCAAAAATAAATAAATGTAAAGAAAATTAAAAAAATAAACATTAAAAAATATTTTAAAACATTAAAAAGACAAGGATTCTTACACTATGGCTCTGCTATGTCACTCCTCAGCCTCTTCTTTTTAGAGGTTAAGGTTTCCACTGTCTACCTTGCTGAGGAGATAGCTACCAGCCTTATTTACTAAAGATTTATCAGGTGTCTGTTTCCTGAAAACTGCTCTATTGACAGGCAAAATATGTTTGTCTTAGATGGGATTAAAAGATCACCCGAGTGCTTCATTTGTCCCTCCCCCAGAAAACGTAAAAAACCTCCCAACCATACAAAAACATAAGTATTGCGGGAACAATGTAGAGTAAGGGGGTGTTTTGTTATTCATACTTTAACCAAAGTCGAGGACTATCTTGAATACCTGAAATTTGCCAAGTCTATTAAACCCTCATGTCCAGAATCTGTGGCAAAGGTAAGGAAGGATAGTTATCTAACTTTATTTATTTATTTTTACATTTTTAAGTGTTTATTTTTGAGAGAGACAGAGTACAAATGGGAGAGGGGCAGAGAGAGGGAGGGAGACACAGAATCCAAAGCAGGCGCCAGGCTCTGAGCTGTTAGCTCAGAGCCCGATGTGGGGCTTGAACTCACCAGCTGAGAGATCATGACCTGAGCTGAAGTTGGACACTTAACCAACTGAGCCATTCAGGCGCCCCAGTAGTTATCTAACTTTAAAATTAGACCCTTTAAAATGAGAGAATGTAGAATCGTACAAACAAAAGAAATCTGAGAGATTATAAAGCTATTACTCAAAAACACACCAAACATAAAAGTGGCAGGCCTTCCTGAAAAGTGCCTTTCGTCCACTTAGTGGGAAATGAGTCTGTGACCCAACCAGTTCTTTTGAATACATGGCTTGACCAAAAACAGAATGGGAAGCTAGAATATTCCTATGACTGACCAGGGCACTGAGTGCTCATTATAATTATCAATAAGATATTTGAGAAAGAATTGTAGCTCTCTTTGATTTGAAAGGAGGTTTTACAAAAAAATATTTCAAACAAAAGGTAATTTTTCATTTCATTCTGTTCTCCTGATTGCATTGCTGAAGGACACAGATACTGGTCTTATCGAGCTTTGTACCCCCCGTGCCTTGAGTAAAAACCAGCCTATTGAAAATATTCAAATAATATTTGCTGGATGAACAAATGAATGAATGAATGACAGAGAACAGGAACAAAACTATACTGAAAAATAGTATTCGACAATTATGATTTAGGATCTTAAGGATGTGGGGCGCCTGGGTGGCTCAGTCGGCTTAGCCTCCGACTCGGTTTTGCCAGAGCCTGCTTGGGATTCTCTCTCTCCCCCACTGTCTCATCTCTCTCTCCCCCACTCACACTCTCTGTCTCCCTCAAAATAAATACAAGTTTTAAAAAGCTCTGTATTGTTTTCTTCTCTAAGCAGGACTTAGGTGGTCTGCTAATAAATAATTCACTTCCAAACCCTAAAGGTCTTCTGCACTGAAACTTATTTTCGGGAGGAGAATGCCCTAGGCTGTGCTGAACTTTATCCTGGACATTCTGTTGCTGGCTCTCCACGTAGGGCATCCTAATGAACATCTTGTTTTGATTTTCACAGACTTTTCCCAGTGAAAAATGGATACCACGTCACCTACACACCTTTCTCCAATCAAATCCAACGAGTCTACCTGAAGTTTATTACAAAACCAGACAGAGGGCCCCAAGAGGAGTAGACGTCAGAAAACACAAAAGGGAAAACAAATCCACAGTGTATCATCCAAACCATGCAGAGATAGTTTTGACTAATGATTTAAAACACTTGGAAAATTGAGAGCACCTTGAAAATGCCACGGTTAATATAGGACATGCCAGCTCAATGGGATTAAAATAAGTTCTCGGGAAAGAGAGGCTGAGAATCTATCTGATAAACTGGGCACGAAGCAATTGTTAAAACGGGTGACCTGTCCCCTCAATGGACTATCACACTGGACTGTGCTCATTTCCACGACTTCGCAGCTGAGCCGACTTCTCCAGGCTGGGTTTCCTGCGAGGCAGGGAGCTTCAGACAAGTGAGGGGTCTGTGACTTTGAAGCGGGACTTGCAACATCACGGACGAAAGGAAAATTGTAACTAGTACGCACCCTCTGGGATCTGGCATAACGCCGCTCCAAGGCAAGAGCGAGTCTTTTTTTTTTTTTAATTTATTATTTCTAGGAGAGAGAGAGAGAGAGAGACAGCGTGAGCAGGGGAGGGTCAGAGAGAGAGGGAGTCACAGACTGAAACAGGCTCCAGGCTCTGAGCCGGCAGTCAGCACAGAGCCCGACGCGGGGCTCGAACCCACGAACATGAGATCACGACCTAAGCGAAAGTCGGACGCTCAACCGACTAAGCCACCCAGGCGCCCTGGCAAGAGCGAGTCTTGAAAAGGCAAAGGCTCAAAACAAAAATGCAATGATATGTGAGTGTGTCGCAGAATCTCAAGATCTGTCATTAATGGTGTTTGGGGGTGGGTGGATTAAGGGACAAAGAAATCAGAACCTTGAGAGTTTTGGTTAAAATGTATAGATTTTGGGGCGCCTGGGTGACTCAGTTGGTTAAACAGCAGACTTTGGCTCAGGTCGTGATCTTCCGGTCGGTGAGTTCGAGCCTCGCGTCAGGCTCTGTACTGACAGCTCAGAGCCTGGAGCTGCTTCAGATTCTGCGTCTCCCTCTCTCTGCCCCTCCCCCACTCATGCTCTGTCTCTCTGTCTCTCCAAAATAAACAAAAAGTTTTTTTCTTGAATGTAGATTTTAAGAAGTAATATTAGGAGAGGAGAACGTGAAAGAAAAGGAGAGGCAGAAAGGGAAATAATTTTTAAGAAGAGATTAATGCTGGTACTGTGTTTATGGCAAATATTATCATTGTTTAGAGAAAGAAAGAAAATATGTAGCTTTTTTGGGTATTACGTAAAACATTTTTTCAGGTGCATAAAGATTATTTTAATGACGGAAATATACTAGTTTTATTTTCAAGAAACTGTAGATTTAATGTCCTTTTTAAAAAAATTTTTTTAAGTACTTATCTATTTCTGAGAGAGAGAAACAGAGTGCGAGTGGGGGAGGGGCAGAGAGAGAAGGAGACACAGAACTGGAAGCAGGCTCCAGGCTCTAAGCAGTCAGCACAGAGTCCGACAGGGGGCTTGAACTCTCGGACTGCAAAATCATGACCTGAGCCAAAGTTGGACACTTAATCAACTGAGCCACCCAGACATCTTTAATGTCTTTTTTTTTTTTTTAAGAAAACAAATAAAAACCGTCACAAAGCATTTGTGGCAAATCATTTGATGATCCGTTTCCCCATCTATTGGTCTAACTATCTCTAGGGTCCCTTTTAATCTAATATTGCACATTTTGCTTCGAATGGTGAAATCGATAAAGACATACTAATTCACTAAACAATTATCTCAGCACTTATTTCGCGTGTTGGCATGATTCCATCTCTGGAAATGTCATGGAGAACAAGAAAAATAAGACTCACTCACCAAGCTGATTGTCATTTGGAGAAATCAAGGGTCGGGTACTGCTTGTCATAACCAATAATCTCTACAAAAATGAGAAAAATGTAACTGTTTAGGGCAAGCGATCGCCTCTATTTGAGACAGGCAAGCTCCGTTTGTTGTTGTTCAAGTATCAGAGCTCCCCGCCCCCACCCATTTCTTTGCAAAACAAACCAAAATCTAAATCAGAATACTTCAATGAGATTCTAAAGTCTCTGAAATCAGATGGGTGTCGGTCGCTCCCAGGATGCTGCATTGGTACTGAAATATTGCCTTTTAAATAAAACATTCCAAACAGAAGTGTGGGGGGCTATATCATTATTATTTTCTAGGCTTTTTACCAAAAGAATGCCCTTCCCCCCCAAAAGCAAAAAACAAGCCTATTGACCATGGAGGTAAGGAGGGAATGAAGTTTTGAGCTGGGCACACACTTCTCTTTAATCTCGCCAACACCCTGTCAGACAAGTGAGCGACATTATCCTTTCTCCCCAGAGAGAAAACAGGCTCAGAGAGTGAAGTAATTCCATTAAAGTCATGTTGCCCGAAAGTGGTGAAAAGGATTAAAACCCAAGATTTTTCTGGCTCCAGATGACCATATTCTATTCACTACACGACGCTTCCTCCGCTAAGGGAAAGCTTTGAAGCCGTGTTTACCAAAGTCCGTTCTGGAGAACGTTAATGAGGCAAGACGATCCATGAGCCTCAATGGAGGCCACGGTCAAGTGACTCTGGGAGGTGCTAAGAATGTTGAAGGCAGTGAAATACTGCATACAGGAAATGCTGGATTTTGTTTAATCAGCGTTTCCCCAAACTCATTTGACGACCAAACCCGGACTGTTTTTTCCATTGAATACACCTTGTCTGAGGAAAGCACCGGCATCACTTGAGACTCTTGACCGGAAAGCTAGGGCTTGTGGTGAATGCGCTAAGCTCTGCCTCTAGACTTCTTCCCAGCCTGCTCTTAATGTCCGGGTCCTGGGCCCACACGGGGTCCTCCGGTCCAGCCATCCAGGCTGCAGACTGACTGCCCCCCACAGCCCACATCCTTCCATCCTGACCGTTTCTCCCATCCGATGGCGTTTTGTGAAAATATGAGTTTTTCATAAACACTCATATTTCTATAGACTTTTGTCAACCGAGAGATTGTTGAAGGAGGAAATCAAGGATCTCCCTTCAGCCAACATGTTTTCACTCTGATTCCAACCCAAAGTTTCATGCATCTTCCTAGCTGACTACTCACTAAGTGTGTGAAGGCCTTCACCCCTTCACTATTCTACATTCTTTAAGTCCCCTTCTAGCTTTACATCGAAACTACTGTTCAACAAAATAAGAATAACCATGAAAAAATGCACATTAACATTTCTTGAAACTAACAAATGATTTGGCATATGCTGAAATGAAAAGAAGGAAAAGGGGTGAATGACAGCTTTGAAGTGAAAATTCAGTTTTCAAACGGAATTAAAATAAACAGCTAGGGGCACGGGGTTGGCTCAGTGGATTAAGCGTCCCACCTCGCTCAGGTCAGGATCTCACAGTTTGTGAGTTTGAGCCCCACGTCAGGCTCTGGGCTGACAGCTCTAAGCCTGGATCCTGCTTCGGATTCTGTCTCCCTCTCTCTCTGCATCTCCCCCACTTGTGCTCTGTCTGTCTGTCTCTCTCTCTCAAGGATAAATAAACATTAAAAAATAAAAATAAAATGAACAACTAGCAGTGATAAGGGAAGCATTTGAAAAAAAGTGTAAGGTTGGGGCACCTGGGCAGCTCAGTCCATTAGGTGATTAACTCTTGATTTTGGCTCAGATCATGATCTCACGGTTCATGGGTTCCAGCCCCGCCTAGGGCTCCTCACTGTCAGCTCAGAGCCTGCTTGGGACTCTCTCTCTCTCCCTCTCTCTCTCTCTGCCCCTCCCCCCAACAAATAGATAAACTTAAAAGAATATAAGATACATTCTGCTTTCAGGGTATTTAGGAGACCGGGGTGGTGGGTAGATGGACAGAGTTGGAGGCAAACAGGGAAACAGACATGAAATAATACCATTAGCATATTTTCGGGGCCAGTTCTTAATAACTAATGTGGGCTGACGTTGAAGGGCAGACTGGGGAGAGAAAAGAGGCTTGAGCTGGACCCTGAAGGATATTGAGATTTAGACAACGGGAGAGGCTGGGAGACAGTGAAAGGCAAAAATACGTTTGGAGGAGAGTTGATATGGAATCGTCAAGCCCTCTGGCCAAGAAAGAATTCTTGTGACATTGTAGGGCAAGGAAAGATGTTATTATACCAGGGGGACAAGACCTGGGGGCAGAGAGAGCAGCACTGTGATTGTGGGGAGTGACTGATCATATAAAGTTTCCTATCCTATGGAGGTGAAGGTGATGTCAGGGCTCCAGGAGATTGAGTCTACAGTTTCCTGGAGGTCTACTATTAAGATTGTATTTTTCTTGTAAATTATTAAGATGGTTACAAACTGTGGTGGAGTTTCAAGTCCTACATGACTGTGATCTTTATCAGTTGGCCAATTGTTTTTCCTTTGCCTCTTCTTACGCAGTTACCTGTACCTGAGGAATCCCACCTTCAGGGGGTGGGTCAGCTCCCGTTTTGCCCTGTCTGCTTTTTGCTCTCCTCAGAGTAAAGAAAGGATCCTCACAACTACAGAGGTAAATAAAGTAGGACAGGTAGGGTTGGCCCAGATTATAGATAGCCACACAGTAACCATCCTGGTGGGAAGATGGAAGGAAAGATTAAAATCTGATTTAGAAGGTCGATTAATCTCTATAGTAAGTAGGAGGAGATAGATTTTTGAATTTTGCAACTGGCTGGGCCCTTAGAGAAAAGCTAACAGATGGCTGTGTAACGAATCAGTCAATCCTCAAATCCAGTCCCCCTTACTCCACCGATCTGACAACTGAAGCCCAGAGAGGTCACCTGATTTTCCTAAGGTCACACAGCGTCAGGAGCAGGAGACCAGAGTTGAGAACTCCGGTCTTCCGACTCCCAAGAAGTTCAGTACTCACGAATTGAGCATAAAATGGTGCCAAAGAAAGGAAGTGCAGGATGGGGGCGGGGGACAAGGCCACGACATAGGCACATTTGCCAAGGCGGTGGTTTCTGTTTGAAAGGTCTGCTTAAAATAATTAAGACAAATAACCCAAGACCCCTTTTAACTCCTCTGCCACAACTTAGCCCAGCACCCTTGCAAACAAATATGTTTAGAGGCTGGTGTCAATAAAGAAACCAAAATTACGAGACAAAGGAAATTATGTTCCTAAAAGGCAGCGTATCTCAAATAGGGGAAAGAGTAACAGAAAAGGATAAACTTCGCTAGTAAGAGAAGCGGCCTGCTAGGATCTTCCCTTTACCCCACGTTAGGACCCTTTTATTTGGTGTTCACGATTAGGGGCATACTAGACACTAATTGCTTGAAACGTGTTTGGGCACGAAAACCACCGCAAGCTGACGCGCCTCCAATGGAGGCAAAGACTGTCACGCGGTCGCTCGCAAGCAGGGCCACCCGCTAACCGGGCTGAGACGCTCCCGCCGCTCTCCCCGCCCACGAGGCCTAGTGGAGGGCGGGTCCCGGCCGGCGCGGCGGACCGCTGGCAAAAAAAAAACTACCACTCCCGACTCCACGCGGGGCCTAGCGCCCGGCCGCCGCAGCCGTGCGGCGCGCGAGGCATCACGGACTCGTAGTTCCCACCCACAGCCCTCCACTTCCGGTCCCGTCAGCTCTTTGGAGGCGGGGAGATCCTGTTTTATGTAAATGACCAGCCCTTCTCCAGCCGGCTTCCCTTTCCTCCCCTCCCCTCCCCCCACCTCCTCCTGCGAGAGTTTGAAAATTCCCGCGGAGCAGGCGCCGAGGCCTCAACACTCGCGAGAACTCAGGGCCGGCGCCGCGATATCCTTCACCGCCGCCCTCCCTCCGCGCGCCGCACCCCCGCTCCCCGCCCCTGCCCCCTGCCCCCCCCTCCGCGTCCCGCCCCGCCCCTCCCCTCCGCTCCCGGGTATATACGACCGGATCGGTCGGTCGGCCCAGGGTAATGCTCAGAACGGGGCTGGCGGCGTCAGCGTCTGGGACGCAGAGTCGCGGGGAGGAGGACCCGGAACCGCCGCGGCGTTCGAGTCGCTGAGCGGCGCGCCGGCCTGCAGCCGGCAGAGGCGCGCGCGGGGCTGTGGGGCTGTTGCGGCCGGCGAGGTCGCGGGCGGAGGCTGGAGGTTCGGCGCGGCGGCGACGGTGAGCGCGCCCTGCCCGTGGCGGCGGCCGTGTCTCCCGGGAGATGCTGTGACGGACCCGCGCGGGAGGAGCTCGCGCCCGGCCTCGCGCCCCCCGCACTCGGCCGCCCGCCCTGCGCAGGTAGGGGAGGGGCGGGAGGGGCCGGACCGGCGCGCGAGGGCGGGTCCGCGCGGCCTGGGCCGCAGGGCCGCGGGCCTCCCCGCGCGGGGCCGGGGCGGCGTCCCGCGAGCGGACGCGGTTGGCGGCGCGGGGCGGTGCGTTCCAACTGTGGGGATGGGCCCTGGCAACGGGTTACATAACCACCACTCGGCCGAGCGGTGGCACATGGTGATGGGCGCTGCGATCTTTCTTCCGCGACAGCCGGCCCCGCACGCCCCGAAGGGCGCTAGGGCCCGCGGCGTTCCTCCCGCGCTGTACCCCGGGGCGGTGGAGACCTTGGCCTCCGGCGCCGACCTGCACCCCACATGTTCCTGGGCCTGGCTCGGGTGAGTGGGGGCGCGGCGAGTGGACAAGTGCGGCGTAGGAGCGCGGGACGTCTCGGAGTGGCTCTTAACCCACCTTCTTGTCTCCCCCTTCGGGAGCCTGAGAACCGTCACTTTGTTACTAGTTGACTTCTGGGCGGGGGGTGGGGGGCGGCGGTCTGCGTGCTCAGCGCCAACAAGGTCCTTGCTCGCTGTTCTCTTTTTTTCAAATCGGCAGTTTGAGAAGCGTTTGGAGGAGCCGGGCCCTTTAGGATAAAACCCGGATCTCTCAGCAACTCCCAACTTCGGTTCTCAGAATACCCTAAAGAACTAGCAGATGTTAGGAAGCTCTGGTGAGCGTTGACTGGCTGGGCCGGTGACCGGGGGATGTCAAGCCCGGCTACCTTTCAGGCCCGCGGGATGCTCCATGTGCGTCCAACGCCACGGGGGACGTCCACGTCCTCTCCCACCTGTAATTTTTGATCCCCGTTTTCCCGTAACCCACTACCGAAGTGACCCCAGTTCGCAAGACAGGGAAAAATTAAAATCCATTTTAAAAAGATTTCAGTCTCACTTGGGGGACGGACTCCTCTTGATTTAAGGGGAAATAAGACATAGTTTCTTTGTCTCCTGACCGTGAACATTTTCCAGGGACTCCTCGTTTTTCTTAACAGAAGGAAGGAGAACTTCCCTGGTTTAGGTCAGCGGTCTCTAGAATATACGTCTGCTCTGTGCTTTACTGCTACCAGAAGGCTCCCCACTCCTGGGCCCATTTTCTTGAAGGTGTGATTTGGTGTTGCTCTGCCCCGTGGCCTTGGGCGCCATACCTGCTTCCTTTCAAGTTCTCCAGTTTCGCACCTTGCTCAGCTTCCATGCCTTCTTTCCTAGGCACGCTTTCATTTCTCCTTCTCCCACATCATTTATCCCCTATTTATTTGTGTCTAATATTCTGTTCTTGATGATGCGTCTCCCAGAATGCAACTCCTTGAGGTCAGAAGTGGGTCGTCTACCTGCCCTCCCAGTCCCTTCCCAGCACAACTTTTTAAAAGTGCTTGGAGATCCATAAATGTTCCAAGTTGTTAACTTTGGAAGAACAGCCGCTACAAGGCCGGAGGTTTCTGAGTGCGCTGGCAGCTTCTATGTGTATCACCTTAGTTTTCAGTAAAAGGCCGGGGGGGGGGGGGGGGGGGGGGGAGGAGTAAAAATGCATACAGAATGTTCTGTAGAGAAGTTTGTTCAGTATGTGTAACAATATAATTACTGAATTATTTGCTGCGGTGGAATGCAGCTGCTTTCAAGCCTATGTATATTTCCTACAGAACTGATCTGTGGTATTCTGTGCTAATAAAATCTTTCCTGGTAATTTTGGAAATTTTTTTTTTGCTTCTTAAATTTTTTTTAATGTTTTATTTATTTTTGAGAGAGAAAGAGACAGAGGTGAGTGGGGGAGAGGCAGAGAGAGAGGGAGACACAGAATCCGAAGCAGGCTTCAGTCTCTGAGCTGTCAGCACAGAGCCCGCCGTGGGGCTCGAACTCATGAACTGTGAGATTATGACCAGAGCCGAAGTCAGACGCTTAACCGACTGAGCCACCCAGGAGCCCCATGGGCTTTTTCTTTTTAATAGACTTTATTTTTTAGAGCCGTTTTAGGCTCACAGCAGAGTTGAGTGGTAGGTACAGGGAGTTCTGGTACACACTTTGTCCCATTATCAAGACCCCCCACTAGCGTAGAACGCTTGTTACAGTTGATGAACCTACACACATCGGTGTCACCAAAGTTGGCAATTTATATTAGGGTTCCCCCTTGGTGTGTGTTCTGTGGATTTGGGACAGATGTATGACGACATAGATCACCATTATAGTATTTAGAGTAGTTTCACTGCCCTAGAAGCCCTCTGCGCTCTGCCTCTGTCCTTCGCTCACTGCTAACCCCTGGCAACCACTGATTTTTTTTTTTTTATTGTCTCCGTAGTTTTGCTTTTTCCAGAATCGTCAGATAGTTGGGATTCTGCAGTATGGAGCCCTTTCAGATTGCCTTTTTTTACTTAGTAAGAATTCATTTAGGTTTCCTCCATGTCCTTTTGTGGCTTGGTAGCTCATTTCTTTCTTAAAGTTTTGTTTGCTTGTTTTGTTTTTAAGTAATCTCTGCGCCCAACATGGGACTCCAACTCAGGACCCTGAGATCAAGAGTTGCATGCTCTTCGGACTGAGCCAGCCGGGCACCGTGCTCATTTCTTCTTAGCACTGAATAAATTCCATTGTCTAGATGTTCCACCATTTATTCAACCCTTCATTCACTCAGAAGGGCATCTTAGTTGTTTACAGGTTTTGACAGTTATGAGGAAAGCTGATAAAACATCTTTGTGTCGTCTTTAGTGTGGACGTCCGTTTTCACCTCCTTTGAGTAAATACCAAGGAGCCTGATTGCTGGATCGTATGGTAAGAATATGTTTAGTTCTGAAAGAAACTGCCAAATTATCTTCCAGAGTGGCTGTTTCCACCAGCAGCGAAGGAGAGTTCCTGTTGCTTCTCACCCTCACCAACATTTGGTGGTGTCAGTGTTCCGGATTTGGGCCCTTCTAAAAGGTGTGCAGTGGTATCTCGTCATTTTACGACACATTTCTCTGATGACGTATGCTGTGGGGCTTCTGTTCGTGTGTTTATTTGCTATCCATGTATCTTCTTTAGTGAAGTTTCTGGTAGGTCTGTGGCCTTTTTTTTTTTTAATGTTTATTTTTGAGAGAGAGTGCGCACCAGCAGGGGAGGGGCAGAGAGAGATGGAGACACAGAATCTGAACAGGCTCCAAGCTCTGAGCTGTTAGCACAGAGCCAGATGCAAGGGCTCGAACTCACAAACCGTGAGATCATGACCTGAACCAACGTCAGACGCCTAACAGCCCACCCAGGCGCCCCTCTGCATTTTTTAATTGGGTTCTTTTCCTGTTGGTTTTTAAGAATACTGAGGTTTTAAAAATTGATTTTATTGTTCAATATATCTATTTCTGTTAGCTACTAGTATCAGGCTGTCCTGATTCACCATGTTTTGGATCTGTTAGTTGCAATGCATTGTGACTGGAAATCACGGGAATTAGTTATGATTTTTGCCTTCTAGGAATTAATATGATAGTGGGGAAGACCGGCAAAGACAAGTAATGACTTTCAGAAATAATATTTGTGATTGCTTCCCTAAAGGTGGAAAGGAGCGAGCTAAGAGATCAGATTAAATGGGAAGGGATGGGTCTGTCCAGACCATGCTAGGAATTTAGTGTTTAAGCGGTAGGCAGGGTTTTGGCAGACAGCTGGAAAGCGGAACAGCAGAAAGAGCAAAAGTACAGGCAGTAGCAAACTGATGATGGTTTTGGGAGGCCGCGCTGTAGAGATAGACTGGGGCTGCCTGGTCGAGGAGGACCTTCGTTGTCTGAGGCTGAGGATGTTGCTTTTTACAGTAGAAGGGAGTCATTGGAGGGTTTTGAGAAGGCAGTGACATAACCCATCTGTGCTTTATCAAGAAGATGAACAATATCTTTATTTCATTGGGAGCCAGCGTCATGTCCTGCTCTGCCTACCTGGCCCTTCAGAAGGAGTTTAAACTTTCTAAATTCCCTTTCAGAGGTTCCCAGTGCTGGCGTGTCTTGAAGGCTGGGACGCTACTTAATTTTGTACGATGCTGAGCATGGCTGCTTAATGTGTGTATGTGAGCATACGTGTCCATATGAGATGTTCTTTCTAATATATTTTTTAGTTCTCTTCAATGTGCTTAAAATGTTAAAATTCACACTGTAAATTTGGGATTCGAAAGGTCTTGAAACCAGTTTTTCCCTCGTAGATTCAAAGGCTAACTTGTAAATTTGAAAAACTTTCTCTTTCACTCACTGAACATCTTTTTGAACTCCTTCATGCCAGGCACTATGATAAGCTAAGAGTTGGGAGAGATAAGTATTCACCTTTTTCAGAAGGTGTGACACGAAGACAGTACGGAAGTTCAGCATTCCATGTACTAGGAAGTGGCAGAACGTGGGCTTTAAAGCCATTCTGATTCAAAGTTCCTGCCTTTTCTCATACTCTGGATGGAGCCTGCTATTATAATTCACCTTGCTGCTTCTCAGACACTAAAAGCTTTGAGAAATCCTTTTTCATCTTGAACCAGGCATTGGTGTAGGATGGAAGTTTGAGAACACTGCTCTAATTCCAAACTAATGGAGTACATTCTTTTAGTTATATAGAAGCTAAGTGTAATTAACTTGCAGGACCGAGAAATGAATTTTAATTGTTACCTTAATCCTGAGAAACAATTGGATAAAGAGGGATATGGTGAGGTGAAGATAGAGGAAGATTTAGGAGGAAGCTAGGATTTCAGCATTTTATTTTTGTGCATTTTAGCGGATGGTAAGGAAATTATAGCTGAAGATTTACCTAATCTGGGAAAGGAAATATATCCAAATTCAGGAGACACCAAGAACTCCCAACAAGATCAGCAAAAGCAGGTCAACAACGAGACACATCCTAGTTAAATTTGCAGAATGAGATAAAGAGAAAAATTTATTTTTGTCGTAAGTGAAATAGTTCTGTCTCTGGTCTCTCACTTTCGTTAATCTAATTTTTTTTTTTTTTTAATTCTTGTCAGCCTGCTTTTGATTTCACTGATTTTTTTACTATGATTTATTTGTTTTCTGTTTCACTGAATTCAGCTCTTTTATTCCTTCTGCTGATGCTGAGTTTGTCTAGTTTCTTAAGGTAGAATCTTAGGTTACTGATCTGTGCTCTTACAGAAGTTTAGTGCTATCAGTTTCCCCGTAAGTACTGCTTTAAGCTGCATCACACAAATTTTGATACATCTTTTTTTTTTCATTCAATTCAAAGTACTTTCATTTCCCTTTTGATCTTTCTGATCCATGACTCGTTTAGAAGTATGTTACTTAGTATTCAAATGTTTGTAAATTTTCCAGACATTTTACTGATTTTTTATTTCATTTTGAGCAGAGGACATGCTTTGTATGATTTGAATCCTTTTAAATATAAGTATATAGTCTATCTTGGTAAGTCATTTGTGTGCATTTGAAAAGAATGTGCAGTCTTTTGTTCTTGGGTAGAATGTTCTATAATAATCAGTCAGGTTGGCCAGATGTATTTAGGTCTTTTTTGTCCTTACTGCTCTTCTGTCTAGTTGTTACTGTCAGTCGTGGAGAGGGGGCTGATGAAATCTCCAATTACAGTTGTGGGTTTGTGTTTTTCCTTTCAGCTCCTAGTTTTTGCCCCATTTATTTTGAAGCTCTGTTATTCAGTATAAATGTTCAGGAGTGTTAATGTTTACTTGGTGACTTGAGCACTTTATCATGATGAAGTGAACCTTTTTATCCGTGGTAATATTCTTTGCTCTGAATTCTTTGATATTCATATAGCTGTTCTACCTTTTTTTTTTTTTTAAATCAGTGTTAGTGTGATCTAGCTTCCATTATTTTTACTCTCAACCTAACTAGCCTTTTTATTTAAACTCTTGCTTTTTAAAAAAAATCCAATCTGACAGTCTGCTTTTTAATTGGAACGTTAAAGTCATTTCATTAATGTTGATATACCATGGTTAGGTTTAAATCTGCCATCTTCCAAGTCATCTCATTAATGTTGATGTACCACGGTTAGGGTTAAATCTGCTGTCTTCCAATTTTTTTTTGTCCCATCTGTTCTTTCATTTTCCCTTTTTTGTGCCATCTGTTGGATTTAAGTTTTTATGATGATATTTTATTGCTTCCATTGGTTAATTAGCGATATAGCTCAGTGTGTATATGTTGTGCTGTGTGGTTGTGCTGAGGTTTATTGTGTACATCTTTAAATTATTGCCACCTATATTGAAGTACCATTAGAGCATTTAATATACAGTGTAAGGACTTTGTAACTGTGCTTCCATTTCTCCTAAGCCTTGTGTTAGTCATTTTAATTTGTAAACATATTAGAAACTCCATATATTGCTATCATTTTTGCTTCAAATACATAATTGTCTTTTAAGAAGATATTTGACGGGGGGGGGGGGCACCTGGGTGGCTCAATGGGTTAAGAAGAAATTTGCCAGTTTTTGGTGGTCTGTATTCTTTTATGTAGATCTAGATTTCCGTCTGGTATCATTTGCTTTCTTCCTAAAGGAATTTCTTTAACATTCCTTGTAGTGCAGATCTACTACTGGTGACTGTCTTTTCAGCTCTTGTATGTCTGCAAGGTCTTTATTTTGCCTTTTTTTTTTTTTTTAATGTATTTTTAAGTTAGCTAACATATAGTGTACTCTTGGCCTCAGGAGTAGATTCCAGTGCTTCATCACTCACATATGACACCCAGTGCTCTTCCCAACAAGTGCCCTTAGTGCCCATTGCCCGTTCCCATTAGCCCTCAGTTTGTTCTCTGTATTTAAGTGATGTTTTCACTGGATATAGAATTCTAGGTTGACAGCTTTCTTTCAGTTCCATTGTTTTCTTTCAGTTATTTGTTCCATTGTCTTCTGTCTTGCATTGTTTTCCACAAGAAGTCTCCTGTCATTCTTACCTTGTTCCTTTTTGCAGTGGGAGACTTTATGATTTTGTCCTTTAATTATGATGTATTTTAGTGAGGTTTCTTCATGTTTCTTGTGCTTGAAGTACAGTGACCTTCTGGTTGTAGGTTTATAGTTTTCATCAAATTTGGACCATTTTGGCCAGTAGTTTTGAAATATGCCTGTTCTCTATTTTTGGAGATTGCTTTTGCATATATTAGGGCACTTAATATTGTCTCATAGCCCACAGGTGCCCTGCTCCTTCCCTTTCTGCTCCAGTCTTTTTTCTCATGGTGGCTCATTTTAGACAGTTTCTATTGTGGGTGTTTAAGTTCAGTAATACTTAATGTGTCTGTCTGTGAATCTCTATCCGTGTATATCCCATCTCTAGATGTTTGGTTTAGTCTTTTTAAATATCTTCTGAGTCTTAACATGCTTATGCTTTCCTCTGACTTTTTGGACATAGGGATTATAGCCAGAATAACTGATTTCATTTTTTTTTTTTTTGAAAAAAAAAAAACCATTTTATTTATTTTTGTGAAAGAGATAGAGACAGCATGAGCAGGGGAGGGTCAGAGAGAGAGGGAGACACAGAATCCGAAACCGGCTCCAGGCTCTGAGCTAGCTGTCAGCACAGAGCCTGATGCGGAGCTCGAACCCACAAACCGTGAGATCATGACCTGAGCCAAAGTCGGACGCTTAACTGACTGAGCCACCCAGGCGCCCCTAGAATAACTGATTTCATGTCCTCCTTTAGTAATTCTAACCTTTGTGTCATTTCGTGGTCTGTTTCTATTGGTCAGGGTTTGGGTTTTTTCCCTTTATTATGGGTCATATTTTTCCACTTCTTTTGCATGCCTGACAATTTTTGATTGGAAGCCAGATATTGCGAATTTCACCTTCTTGAGTACTGAGTATTTTTTGCATTCCTTTACATATTCTTGAGCCTTCCATGTTCTAGGATGCCGCTCAGCTATTTGGAAACAGTTTGAGTCTTTTGAGGATTGCCTTTTTAGAAAGGCCCAGAATGAGCCTTGGACAAGGGCGAATTTCACCATCCCCCCCCCAACTGGAGCAGTCAATACCATTCCGAGTACCCTACTCAGGGCCTCATGTATTAGAATGTTTTCCAGTGCAGGGTTATTCCTGGCCTTGTGCAAGCTTTGGGGATTGTCCCTCCTCGGTTTTTGCAGTGATTCATTCCTTGGCCTCTGCTGGTTTCCTTACATGCTTACGCTGATCATACGAAGGTTCAGGGGAACCCGCTGCAGGTATCTGGAGCTTTTCTCTGACCACTATCCCACCTGAAACCTTCTAGCTGTAATCTTTTCGAAGTCTCTTTAAGGGAGAGTTTATTTGTGGTGAACTCTGGTTTCCTAAAAACATGTTTCATGTTTAATGATAACTCCAGTGATCTGTAATTTAACGTTGACAGCAATTTTTGCTTAGAATTTTGAAGATATTCCAGCCGTCTTCTTATTTACTCTATGCAGGATTCACTGGTCTTCCTGATTCCAAAGAATTGGTATGTCCAAGTCTGGGAAATATCTTTTAGAATACTGCTTCTTCCTTATCATTTAGTGTTGTATGTTGAGGGATTCTGAATAAGCATATGTTCTTCTCCCTCTCTTGTCTATCACGTTTTTTAAGACTTTACTTGTAATTTCTACACCCAGCAGGGTGCTCAAACTCCCCATCCCAAGATCTAGAGTTGGATGCTTCACCGACCAAGCCAGCCAGGGGTCCCTCTTGTCTGTAACTTCCAACTGCTCATTTCTTTGTCTCTGTCTTATGTTCTGCAGGAGTTTGGGGCTCTCTTTCTCCTTCTAGTTAGTGTGCCGTGTTACTAACTTTTTAAGTTGGTTTTGCTGACTTTTGATACAAAAGAACTATTTGCTGCCTGGATATAAAAGAGAATATTTGTAAGTTACAAAGAAGCCTGAGCGGTGAGTAGGTGAACACGAGCCTGCTCACCATGGGGCTGTAGAAAAAGAACGTTACCATTGCCCCAGAGCCCTGGCTTACTCCCCTGCGTTCCAGTCCCTTTCCCTCTTCTCACACTACTGTCGGGTTTTTGTGTTTGTTTCCTTGTTTCATGCATAGTTTTGCTACACACGTTTGTATCCTTAGGTATTATTTTGCTTAGTTTTGCAACCTTTTTACCTTAATGTAAATGTAATCATTCTACATGTATTTTCTGCTCCTCTCATTGTGTAGTGTTGTACTCTGGTGGCGCTTTTCCATCTTGTTGCATATGCCGCAGTTCTAACTCCATTGAGGTATTTTCCCCATTGAGTTCTGAGTTTCACTTAATTTTTTATTCCACAAGTTCTGTAACTTTTGTCAGATCTGCTTGACTATTCATTATTTTTGTGAAATTTCTTCCGCATTAGCAAGCTAGAACTTTGATTTCTTTAAACCTATTAAACCTATTTTCTGTTCTCTGATCATTTTCAACATCCGAAGTCTTTGACAGGTTGATTCTGCTGGCTGCTGATCATGGTACCCTTGTTACAGTTCATTATTTGACTGTGAGCCCATTTTCTTTGGAATTTCATCTCTGAAAACTCCTTGATATTCTAGAGACTAGGTGGTTTCTATGGGTTGTGTGCAGCGTTACCAACCTGAGAATAATTTATAAAAAAACCCTCCCCGGGTGCTTTCAGATAACCTAGCTTGGATTCTGGCCACCAGTTTGTGTGAAGGGAAATACTCCGAGTAGAGACTTAACAGCCATGGTTAAAACGGGCAGCGTTACCGCACCCTGTCTTGCACACTGAGTGCTTTTCTCACTGACCTTTATGCCGAGGACACAACCTTACCGGAGCTCAGTGGGGTGAGGAGGGGGCTCTTAGCTTGCCTTGGCTCTGCCAGCCCTTAGCTTTACCTTCTGTCATAATTTTATGATTATTCTAAAATCTTGTTCAGTTATGCTGCTTATATCTGTTTTGAGCTGTTCATTAGCTGTCAATTCTTCTTGGAATTTCTTTGGAGGAGAGCTCTTTCGTTTTGTCATTTTAGTTAGCTTTCTGTCTTTCGTTACTTTTAAAGACTTGTTATGCTCTGTGCACCTGTGAGCGCTGCTATACCCAAGAAGACTCTTTGACTGTCCAGGGCCTATTCTTTCAGAGAGTGTTTTTTGAATGGTATCTCTTGGTCTCTCTTGTTGAGACCTTGGTTATTTTATTTTCCTACTAGTAGTGATATTTGGGACTCTCCACCATGTATACTATGGCTAGTTTCTTGAAGTAACCCTGGAGAAGAAAACAGACAGACAAACACACAGGGAGCAGGGGCACACAAACGCACAGACAAATCCAACAAACATGCAAACTGAGAGGGAAAATGAAAAAGTTAAGAGAAAAGACGGAGGAGGGAGGGCAAATAATAGAGAGTATAAAATACATAAAAGGGTCAAAAAGGAGAAAAGAAAAAAGAAGAAAACCGATGGACAAAGAATGGTTTAAAGCATATAACCGGATTTCCCAGCTACAATTAAATAGCCGTGTGTATGCAGTGCTGGTTGAAGAGCATAGAGAAAGAGAGAGAAGACAGGGAGGAGATGAGGCAAAATTGGAAATAGAATGAACAGGCAGAAGAGATAAGAAGCTTTTTTCAAAGAGCTAAAGGGTGGAATATGGTTGGATAGATGAGAGAAGGACGCTGGTCTTATCCAGAGAAACTATATAGTCTAATTACTCCTGAGAGAAAGAGATGATAAGGTTGGTAGGTGTAGAATTTACATCTACAGAATGGACTAGATGTGACTGTTTAAGCAAGCTGGTGACCAGAGTTAATCAGGTCAGTGTTCCAGAACAAAAAAAAAAAAAAGGGGAGGAGGGCAGCTCTCAGGCAGGGACGGGCATGGTGTGATCCGATGCGTCAGGTGGGGGTTCTGCGTTGGCAGTTGTGGGGAGGAGGGTGGGGGCGCTCCAGTCCCTTCTTGAACCAAGCACTGCACCTCGCTTTTTTGGGTGTGTAAACTCCCCGTGCCAGGGGCGCAGCCAAAGTGGGTCACACTCTTTAACCCAGGCCAGACTAGTTTCCAAATCCCAGTCCGTGCGCCCCACTGAAATTGCCGTAGACACAACCTCGCAGGTGATCCCCTTGGGGCAATTCCAAGCCTCTTGCCTCGCCCTGGGGGTGAAGCATGAATCGCTGCTCCCTTCTCCTCTGGGTCGGGTTGGCGAGCAAGGATGGGGGGTTTGCCTGGGGGGCGCGCAGGCCCGCTGGAGAGCGGGAAACTGGGTCCCTCCGTGTTTCATCACCCGAAACACGAACTCGCGGGCAAATCTCCCAGTTTTAAGCCCTTCGCCTTCCCTCTAAGTGTCCAGCCAGCTCAGAGCACAGAGGCCCAGTACGCACGCGGTTACTCCAGGGGTCCACCCAGCCAGGAGCTCAAAGGAGCGGTCAACGGGTGGCCCTTCCAGGATGAGTTGGCGTGCACAGTCCTTTTGTGCCCCAAGCGGAGGTTTTTCTGTTCCCCAGCGACAGGGGCCGTGTCTTGAGTAGTTTCGGACTCTCTCTTTCCCCTCTCACTCCCCACAGAGGGGGATCGCCCAGTCCCTCCAGTCTCCGATCCTGGCCCGATTTTATCTTCCCCAGTTCGCACTCACATTAGAAGGCTTTCTCAGTGGATCCTGCGTCCTTTTTCTCCCAATCTCTTGGGTTCTGTAAGGTTTCCTATGGCTTCAGATCTTTTCTGTGTGAGATATGGGGGCGAGTGCAATGTATGGAGCTCCCTACTTCTCCGCCATCTTGCCCCCTCCCAAAAAAGTGGTATTTTAACCATTAGTTTTGGTCGCTGACAGTAGAGGGAATCTAATCTTCTATATATTGGAAGTGAAAGATAATTTCCAATTTTTTTTTCCTGTCTAGTTAAAGAGCCGTCCCAAACTCAATTCCTGAGATTACTGTGTGTTTGCACACTTTTGGGGGACTTTCTCCCCCTTCCCTGGAGCAGCAGTTTTTGTAACATTCATCAGTTCTTCCTGTTTGTGTGTGAAGTGTTCTTGGAGAGTAGTAGGTCAGGCAGTAGATAAGGTGAGCTGCACAGGGCCAGGCCGTCTGGGGAATCAAGTCTACCCTCAGGCCATCTGGCTTACTACATCTTTCCTCTCCTAAGGCTGTTGGGAAACATCTTATTAGGAGGTAGGACCTTAGACCCAGAAGCACACGAAATGTGTTTTATAATCAGATTTTGGTTTTAGCATATTTATTTTCGTGTGATGGCTTTTCCGTTTTTTCTTCTGGGCTCAAGCATATTACGCTCCGAACGTAATGCTTTCTCTTCCAACTCCTTACAGTGAAAGCATGCGAGGCTTAACGGCGCAAGTGACGGCCCTCCTGCGCTTGCCGGAGGTGACGGTGCAAGCCTGTGCGGAAGACGGCAGGACGTCAGAATGTGTGCTTCGTGGAAGGCTCACTCCAGGTAAATAACGTTACTGGGCGTTGACCAATGTGATAGATTTGGGAGAGAATAATAAGCACGTATTATAATTTCCTTTAATCCGGGATAAAATCGCACTACCTGGTCGTAGGGGTCTTACCTGAGCATCTGGCATCCCAGCTGCATGTGGAATCATGTCCGTATACTCTCGAACAATTCTCGGTGACTCCTGGGTGGGTGTTTTGCTTATTAAGAGTACTGTGTGCTTTATAGTTTTTGTACTATGTGTACACTATCTTTTAGTATTGACTGTTTATATTTAGAAGATAGAAATAATACACAGCTGTTATTTCTTTGTAATCAGTAAGGTTTACTGGCGATGAATTTGGATTAGAATCTAAATAGTCTTATGAGTAGAACAGTCTGACTGTAGGGCCTCGAATAATACCCACAAAGTCTTATTTCTTAATTTCGTTAACTTGAACAAGATCTTAATATACAGTTTCGATTATATAATAGAGCAGAAAACCGTAGCAGAGGAGCCATTCAGTCGTGGACTTCAGTCCGCTGAAAGAGGCTGCAGGCGAGTTTTAGGAAAGTGAATTTCCCAGCCATCCACCCTGGTGGGTGGACAGGGACACCTGTCAGCCACGTGGCTATTCGCAGCGCTCCTGTCTGGAGTATAAGAGCAGTGCTAGGCCCTGTAACAACTTTGCCCTGAGGTATCAGACTCTTCTGAGTAGACCCTCACTGATCTGTGCGGCTAAGAACCCGGCAGGTTGAGATAGCAAGTGGTGAGAATTCTCTCTGAAGCCATGTGTTCTGGGTCCCCGCTGTGCTGTGCTGTTTCCTTAAACTGCAGAGTGTCCCGTTGCTCCAGCCTGGGTTAGCCACCTGTGTCCTTGGATGCGAGGTAGCCATCACAGATTTAAAAGTTACCACGCACCCAGCTGCTCAAGGGCAAATTCGAGTCTGTTCCTGATTCTTGGTTTATTTACCTCCCTTATGGTCTTCCATCAGCAAGCGCATACTCTCAGTCCTGTCTCCAAGACGAATCTCTTGTCAGTCTACTTTTCTTCGTTCATGGTCGCCCGCCGGGCCTGGGGTCTCATCCTGCACCTGTGCCCTGTGCTCCCCCTTGTCCCTGTTTCGCTTAGCAGAGAGGGTAACGTTTAAAAACCTATCAGATAGGTTAAAAACCTCCGGGTAGTTTACACTGTGTACACAGTAAGATCCAGGCATGACTGGTAAGGGGTCCAGAAGGGCTCCTGGCCTTTCCTGTGACACCAGTTACATCTTGTCTTCTCAGTTAGATTTTGAACAACTCGGGGATAGAACCATGGGTTATATCTTATGAGGCTCAGAGCACCACGTGTAACTCCTGAGGTATAACATCGTGGACCTGTGAGGTTTGGAGTTTGACTTGCGGTGCCCCTCTGGCTGCGGTCCTTGTTGCCACACGGCCGGGGGCAGGTTAGTTACCTGTGTGAGAGTTCCGTTGCTTTTTCTCTGTATTGAGGTGTGACGGGGACTAAATGAGATCGTTTCTTTTAGCCCATAGCAGGTGCCTTCACCCAATGGTTAACTTTCTTACTGAGGTAATAGTTGTTTAATGTATTTTACTAATCTCTGGACCACTGTGTTCTATAAATGGTCAGATTTCACTTTAGAGCTAATGCATCAGGTTCTACATAATAAGCTGTATATCATGTATGTAAAACTTCTAACTTCTGTTTACTTACATGGTGTCCATTGAAATAAGTAACGTTTTTTGCTTTTTTTCTTTTTTCTTTTCCTTCTTCTAGGGAGAAATGCACTTGCTTGCCTGGCTTGTGGTCCACAGCTCGAGGTAGTGAACTTTCTAACAGGAGCGCGGCTGTCTGCGTATCGATTCAGTGGAGCGAATCACCAGCCTCCCATAGTCCTGGCTATGAAGGAATTCTCCTGGCAGAAGAGAACTGGGTTGTTAATCGGACTCGAGGAAGCAGAAGGGAGTGTTCTCTGTCTGTACGACCTTGGCGTGTCCAGAGTAGTGAAAGCTGTTGTTCTTCCTGGAAGGGTAGGTGCCGTTGAATATACATGAGCTCTCTGTGTTCAGAGCTAACCCCTGCTGGTCACACAGGTGTGTTGGCTTTGGGAAAATCCATTGAGCTCTGCATTGTTAAAATTTGCTTACTTCTATGGAATTGTTATTTTCCATTAAAAGTTCAAAATAAAGAGCTTAAAGACAGTATGTTATCAAAAGAACTTAACGTTTAATATAGAACTTTTTATGCTTGGTTAGAAAATTGCAAATGAAAGTAGGGGTGACACGAAGTGTTCTGATACTCTCTTGTGTGAAGAGGATCATCTGAGTCTCATCAGCTTCAGTTGGAGTTTATGAGCACACTGGAAGTTTCTATTAAAATACTCATTACTGTGGTGTGTTTCGGTTTGTTTTTCTTCTTTTTTAATTTGACACTGTAGCCTTGCCGCAGTATGGAAAGTATGTCTTCACTCTTGTTTAAGAGTTGAATATATTTTTCTTAAGAGTCAAATGATATTTAAAAAAAATTTTTTTTTTAATGTTTTATTTATTTCTGAGAGAGAGAGAGACAGCGTGAGCAGGGGAGAGTCAGAGAGAGAGGGAGACACAGAATCTGAAGCAGGCTCCAGGCTCCAAGCTGTCAACATAGAATCTGACACAGGGCTCGAACACACGGACCAGTAGATCATGACCTGAGCTGAAGTCATATGCTTAACTGACTGAGCCACCCTGGTGCCCCTAGAATAGAATTTTTAAAGGGAGGTAAATGTCAAAATACTATGTTTTGACAGTTTGAGGAAACTCACTCAGTGGGCACTGCTGGGGGTCGAAGTGGTCATAGCCTGGTGTCTTAAATGTAGTTGCCAGTGCTGATTTTAAAGTCAGATTTCATTTAGCAGTTTATTGAGTGCTTACTGTAAATCAAGCTATATCCTAAATTTTGGAGAAAAGTAGATAAATGGAACTTGGTTCATGCTGTTGAAAAAGCCTGTAGTCTAGTGGGAGAAGACAGGTAATAAGTTTATAGCCTAAGTATAGTAAGTATTTTGATAAACTCAAGCACACGGAACATGGAAACACCTAGATAATTTCTGCTTAGAGAGGTTGGATATTTTAGGCAAAGGGACCAGCATGTAAAAAGTCCTAGTGTATGGGACATTTGGGGATTGGGCTTACGTAGAATGGCTGCGGGAGGGGACGGAGGAGGTGGGGTCTAGAAATGGGGAAGGTTGGGATAGTGAAGGGACTTGTTTGTAGTTAGTGGCCTCCATCTGAAGTCTTTGGTGGTCGTTTAAGGTTGAAGCAGAGCTCTAGTATAAAAAGCTCATTGGATTGGAGTAGGTGCAGATGGATAATGATAATGAACTGGACAAGGGAAATGACGGTCAAAGTGGAGAAGACGGAACAAAAGTAGAATATATTCAGGAGGTAACACGGCCTGGCCCTGTCGATCATTTGGATGAGTAATTGAGAAGGAATGAGGGTGGCGAGGTGCCTGGTTGCTCAGTCGTGCAGATGGTTGGCACCGCAGAGAAGGGGGGATATAGAAGGGAAGGGCTGGGAGGAGACTGATCGAAACCTTCCCAAGAACTTGGTCAGCTAAGTTTCTTGTCTGGGGCACAGTATCCTCTCTTAACTCTGTTTGCTTTAAGTGTCTCATTTTAAAATTAATAATAAGATCCCATTTTCAGTTAATTAATACAGTGTTTGTATGAGGAATGCAAACCCAGATAGATTTTTTAACCACTCAGAAGGGACTGAGAGACTGGGCTTTAGTATTTGTAGACAATATCACTGTGAGTTAGACAAGGAAGACAGTCCATGAAATCACGGCTTTCAGAATTAGAAACACTGTAGAATGTTTTGTATACCAGTGAAATACAGAGCCAGGCTTTTGTCTGTAATGAGTTACAGCCTGAAACAAACTTTACTCTGACATGAATGCATAAAATGCATAAAAGTAAAACTGTAAATTTTTCTTGAATGATTTCTTTTCATCCTTCCTCAGGACAACAGGCTGTATGATGGAGCAGTAGCTGGTTGACAGCTTTATAGAGAAGAATCTGGGTTTGAGTATAAATGACCCCAGTTAAACTTTCTAGGCTTCAGCGTGCTTCATCCGTAACAGGTGTAATTACACATAACCCCGTATCCAAGGTTACCATGACGTTACGTGATGCAGTTAGACAAGGCCTGGCCTGTGGTACGCTTCCAGTAAACACCGACCCGGATATATTTTTATAGTGAAACGATGGTGTTTCTGTTCCTGAAGGTTTCATTAACGTTATTCAGATCCACCAGCCAAATGCAAATTTATAATCTCTAGTAGAAAATGTTTAAATCTGTTATCGCTGAGAGCCGTCTCTAACCTCCAAATTTGTTCTGTTGTTTCATTGTGTTTTTTCACTCTCTGCCCCCCAGGTGACCGCCATCGAGCCTGTCATCAACCACGGCGGCGCCAGTGCAAGCACCCAGCACCTGCACCCCAGCCTGCGGTGGCTTTTCGGTGTGGCGGCCGTGGTGACTGATATCGGGCACATCCTCCTCATTGACCTGTGCTTGGATGACTTGTCGTGCGGCCAGAATGAAGTGGAAGCATCAGGTAATCGTGTGGAGCCTCGAACTGAGCGCTGGTGGATTCCGATGCAATGGACCAGGGTTCCTTAAACAGTGAAAAACCTTTATGTAGAAATTGCTTCTGTGTGTCTTTGTTTCTTTAATGGTCTGGACCCATTGTATTAGCGTTTTGGGGCCCAGGGATACTTTTGCATGAGTTATTCTGTTTATTGATGAGGTACGAAAGTAGGTCTTGAAAGAGATTGAGGTCCTGATTTGTTTTATTTATTTTTGAGACAATTCCTGATTTGTTTTAAATCAACACTTGAACAATAGCTGTCGTTCCGTTATGCCAGGAGGAGGGCTGAAGGTGTAGACGTTATAGAATTATCCAGTGTTAAGACTGGCTTATGTAGGGAGGAGAGGTAACCTAAAAGCCTTTTAAAAATGTATATATCATACAGTTTTAGGAAAAGACCGTTTAATTTTGAGGACTTTCTTGATTTTTAAAGCAGTCCTATAATAGGGCAGATCTTTCTCTGTAGATCAGCTAAGAAAGAAAGATACAAATGATCATTATTTTCCCCCAAATTATAATGAGCATAACGAATAAAAATTGTCAGTGTTTAATAAAACTGATTGTAACTGCAAGTAGTAAAAATTATATTTAGCCAGAAACTTAAGAGCAAAATCAGATTTCTGAACAAACTTTTTGATTTTACAGATTTCTGTAATATGACTTGAAAACACTTGATTTGACAGAAATAATGGCCACATGTACACTTAAAAAAAAAAAAAAATCCTGGGGGCACCTGGATGGCTCAGTCAGTTAAGCATCCAACTTCAGCTCAGGTCATGATCTCACAGGTCGTGAGCTGGAGCCCTACGTCAGGCTCTGTGCTAACAGCTCAGAGCCTGGAGCCTGTTTCAGATTCTGTGTCTCCCTCTCCCTCTCAGCTCCTACCCCACTTGCACTCTCTGTCTCTGTCTCTCGAAAATAAATAAACATTAAAAAATTTAAAAAAAGATCCTCACAGTGATGAGAATTGTATCTGCAAATTTGATATGTACAAAGATCTGACTGATTAACTCTGTGTAAAATTAATGAAAAGAATTGACTTGCAGAAATCACAGAAACTGAAAGTGAATTTATAGAATATTAGAAATGCCTAAACTGCCTTTACAGAAAGTTGATAGAGGAATTAAATAGTCATGATGGCTTTTGTTCCAGAGTTTTGTAGATCGTATCCTTCTAGGTGTAAGGCTAATCAATGTGCTCATATTCATAATTAAAACTCTTCTTCAGACCAGAATAGTAGAGTTAGAACTTTCTTTACTTCAGAAGTCCACAATCAGTAGTGGAATTCAACACAAGGATAGTTTTATAATGATACACTTTGGATTGTGATCAGAGATCAGAATCATTTCCCAGTTATAAAGAATTATAAAGCCATTGAATAAAAAATTGGGGTTTAATACAAAATATATTTTTTTGTTTACAAAAGTAATTTAGGATTACAACTATTTGGTCTTCACTGTAATACACATAACATAGAAAATGAAGTTCCTGATGTTTATTATACTATAAATACTGTGTTACAATTTTTCCAACCTTAACATCTTCCCACATCAGTACAGATAGAGTCTATCTTACCCTCTTGCGTAAGGTTACATTATTCCATTGTATGAACTATTTATTTTGGCAAAATTTAATCACTTGCTTCTCTGGGAAAAAAAAATCAGAAGCAGAAGGGATCAAGAGGGTAATTGTTCAAGTACAATATATGATTTTTCCCCTCTGCATAGCAGCGTTGAGGGAACCTGCCCTTGCATCTCGGTTATATTAACATACGGACCTGAGTAGTTTTCCTTTCTATGAAAGATTTCAGACATCTTCAAAGAGAGAAGAATATAAGAATTCCCACATGTCCATCACCTAAATTCAAGTTCGTTTTCAGAACTTACCACGTGTACATTTGTTTTCTTTTCCTTCTCCCCCACCTTTGCCTCTGAATTAATTTAAAGCTGATAAGGGCTGTTTTACTACATAGTCCTAAGGCCATTACCAGTCCTAAGTACGTTAATAAGAACTCCTTGGTGTAATCTAGTAACGAACCCATAAGTCAGATTGCTGTGATTGTCTCTAAAGCATCGTTTTGCATTTGTATCATTTGAATCTGGGTCTAAAGAAGGTCCACACATGACATTTGAGGTACGTCTCTGTCGCCTTGAATGTAGAGCAGTCCTCCCCCTTCCCCTCTTTTTCTATTTGTAGTGCTTCTGACTTGCTAAAGAAGTTAGTTTAGCTGGTAGAATGCCCCGCAGTTTGCAGTTATCAGGGTGTTTTCACGTGCTGTCATTTACATTTTGCGTTTTCTGCAAACGTAAGTCAGTTCTGACCAGAGTCAGGTGTGACATTGGCAAGGCTGCCTCGGAAGAGCCAGGTGCTTCGTATTGTATCATGACAGGGGCACATGGTGTCATGTTTCACCTTCAGTGACCAGTAGGTCCAGATGACGACAGCTTGATTCTTCCTTGTTACAATTTCCCCCTGTACCGGTGATTCTCACCCGGGGGTGACGTTTGCCCTCTGGGGGATCTTTGATGAGGTGTCCGGGATGTGTTTTGGTTGTTGCTCCTGGAGAGAGATGGTGCTGGTGGCGTTGGGTAGAAGCCCGGGATGCAGCTGACCATCCTATACGCATAGGGCTGTTCCTCAGCCAAGATTGCTCTGACCCAGAGCGTCAGTGGAGCCAGAGTTGAAAAACCCTACATAAATTAATTGTTTCGTCCATTGAGACTGTTACCTCAGTTTCTTCATTAGGGGATACAAAAATGATGATTTTAAAATTCTGTAAATCTAAGGAAGGATTTTCTCATTAACTAGGGCTGTTTGCCTGAAATACAGTTTGTACAGAAAAGGATAAATGCTTACTATTTCTCTAAGTACTAATTTTCAGAGTAAGGAGCTGGTACCCAGGGACTTAAAATGGTTCAGGAAAGTCTTTAGGTGAGCAGGGCGGGAACTCATGAGGTTTTACATACTTAATGTGTTTCATTCATTCATTTTCATTGTTAAAGAAACAGTGCTCAAAATGGCATTTGTTACTGACAAGCCCCTTCTGGAGTCTGCCAGATCCCCTATAGATTTCGATGGCTTCCTCGATTTCGGGCACAAGATGAACTAGGCTCACCTCACATATTTCCTGCCCCAGACCTGGAACCGGCACTTCTCCAAAGGGAGTATTTAGGTTTTTAGTTCTAAATGTAAATAAAGAAACTGTCAGCTTTGTTTATGATTAGTAAGGAAATTCTTTAATCCTTTAAAAAAAATGTACTTTAGAGAATATTTAAAACGTGCCATGAGAGTTTTAAAAAGTTACACACCTAAATGTGTTTTGAAAATCGTAGCATTTACATAGATGGGAGGCTGTTTAGGAGCTGAGCGTGCTGTGTTGTCACAGATCCTTTTTCATCGACCCCAGTGGGCTTCAGTTGCAGCTTGACTAGGGGGTGACACGTTTGCTTTTATGCTCTTTACAATTTGCTGATCTTACTCACTCTGCGTCTCTAGACCTCGAAGTTGTCACTGGCATTCCGGCCGAGGTGCCGCACATCAGAGAGACTGTGACGCGGGCAGGGCGCCACCTGTGTTTCCAGCTCACCAGCCCGTCGGGGACGGCCGTGTCGGTGCTCTGTTACATCAGCAGGACTAACCAGCTGGCCGTGGGCTTTTCTGACGGCTACCTAGCTCTGTGGAATATGAAAAGCATGAAAAGAGAGTAAGTACAGCTTTTTCCTCTTGTTTGTTTATTGGTAGCCGTTTTCCGAAGATAGCTTGTACTCAGGTATTAATAGTTTAAAATTAGAGTAAAGAGAAAAAGGTAGGGTAGCTTAGCAGTTTAGTGAGTCTGGATGATTTCTTGCTGCACAAAATCATAACTTGATATAATAAAGGAAGGCCTCATCGCGTGAATATAGGTCGGCTCTTTGGTGTGTATTTAAAAGGCCCTTCAGCGAGTGTGGTGGGCTGTTGGCGAGTAAGATGCTGCTCTGTAATGGTAAGCCACGTATTCATGGGGTATGAATTCTGTCATGAGTACTTCCAACCACACGTGTAGAGTAGAAGGTGATGGTAGTACTTGGTTGATGGGAAAACAGGCTTTTTAATCAAAGTTAAAAGACACCATGTTTTGAAATTTTGATGCTGTTTAAATTTCCCCCAGTTGTATTGATACTTTTTAAATTGGCATTTCTGGTGTTCAAATTGCTGAAGGGGGCTCGGTCAGTAGAGCGTGCGACTCTTAATCTTGAGGTTGTGAGTTTGAGCCCCACACTGGGTGTGAGATTAAGATTTTAATAAAAAATCTTGAAAATCGTGTGGGATTAACCCTTTATTGAGGAGGGTGACAGATAAGTATTGCAGACTTTTAATCCCTATAGCTAAGTAGATGCCCATTTTCCTTGTAAGTTGTCAATTTAATATTCTCTGTTTTTTCAAGGCATATTGGAATATTTTCTTGAATACTTTATCTTGCAAAAAAAATCAGTAGTAGTTACTCTTCCAAACGTTTCCTGCTTGGCTCACCTTGGTAATAAATGTATACCGTATACCAGGGTTGAGGTGAAAGAGAAAAGAGAGAGGAGGAAAATAACAAGTTTCTCTCATCTCAAACCAGACCTGCTGCTCACCGTTGCTCTTTGATAAAGTAGAGAATCACAAGTGCTTTAAGTAACTTCTGTCCTTGCACCTCCTCAGATCCTCAGAGTCCTTTTTTTTTTTTCTTTTTGGTTTGGGTTTTGCAAGTTACCAGCAATGGGGTGGAGGTGCTGTCGCCCAGTAGCCCCCACGGGAGGCCACCTCAGCTCTCTGTGTTGTGCCGAGAGCCTTTCCCCAGCTCTTGTCTTTGAATTGCTCCTGCGAACCTGGGGGTCCCCGGCCTCTCTACGTGCGTCCCTAGCGCTGGCCGCTCCGGGCTGACTTCTCGCTGGTTCCCGGGAGCGTTCTCACCCCCTCGGGGTTGTTCTGGGGAAACTGGCCGGGGCAGGTGGCCCAGGCGGAGTGCCGCCTCCCTGGGGAGCAGCTCACGTGGCGTCCACGGGACTGGAAGGCGACCTTGGGGGTGGTTTTAGCCCTTCTGGCACCATGGCCACGGGCAGTCGTGACCTCGAATGCCCTGTGTAGTTTTGAAGATGAGACGATTGCGCGAGCGGCAGTTGCTCTAACCGGAGAGTCTCCCATGAGAGCCCGGATTCTTCCTGAAATCACCACGTAAGAATATGAAGTCCTTTCTGTTACCGTTTTAGGTACTATACCCAGTTGGAAGGTGGAAGAGTCCCTGTGTACGCTCTCACTTTTCAAGAACCGGAGAATGACCCTCGTAATTGCTGTTACCTGTGGGCCGTTCAGTCTACACAGGATAGGTGAGTGTGGCGCGTGGGGTTTTCAACGACCCTGGCCAGCGACGAGGCCGCAGCGAGCCTCTCAGAAAGCTTCACAGTACATTGTCTCAGTTTCCCCGGAAGCAACATCACTGTCACGGGTGGCAATTGGGACGATCCTGAAAACGAAGGGATTGTTTCCACGTGGTTGAGTACGTTCTGAGGCCGGGAGGACACTGTGCGCGCCTGTTTGCTTGCTGTTGCCGGGAGCCGGCCAGTGCAGGTGGGGGGCGGTGGCCTCCTGGGGTCTCGTGTCCCAGCACCTTCTTTCCCTGTTGTGTGTGCCTCCCGTTTTTATTGACCCCGACTCTGTTCCTTGTCCTGCTTGCCTGGCGCAGTAAACTCGTAGCATTCACTTGCTTATTTTTTACTCTGTCACAGGGTCTAATTTTGTCCCAAGTATAGCTCGTGAGAAATCTTTCAGCTGATTCTGTCTGGTTATGCTCGCTTGTTTCCAGGGCTAGAATGGTAGTAGTATTGACTTCCTCTTCTTTCTCTTTAATGTTTCATCCCTTCTAAGATTAGTGAAACAGTCGCGCTTATGATATAAACGCCACGATGGTGATCACCTTTGTTCCCAGTACTTGCTCCTCCCAAGCCCATCCCACCTCGGGCTCTGGGTACCTGAATTGGGGTCTGTTTGTATTAGATTTCTGGGATTTTGTATTAGATGCCACACTTGGTGGTTTTATCTTGCCTTACTCTGTGGTCAGTGATGGAAAGAAGACTTGATTTGCCACTTTTGAAATTTGTCAATCCCGAAAAACTATGGAACTGAAAATAAGGAGACCGCTGTGGAGCTCTCTCTCCTTCATGGAGTCCAGGCTGTGTTTCCGTCTGCCCCAGTGCGGTGTGGGCAGCAGCAGTTTGATGGTTGAGACTCCGCTGGGCTGTTCAGGCAGGGTTGGGGTGGGGAGGGGGATGCAAGGGGACTTTCATCTAAATGATTGTTGTTTGGTTATTTTTCCTCCTAGGATTGCCTCTTAGGATGAGTTCGGTAATTTATTACCCTTCAAAAAATTGTTTTAACATTCATTTTTGAGAGAGAGAGAGACAGAGTATGAGCAGGGGAGGGGCAAAGAGATAGGGAGACACAGAATCGGAAGCAGGCTCCAGGCTCTGAGCTGTCAGCACAGAGCCCGACACGGGGCTCAAACTTGGGAATGGAGAGATCATGACCTAAGCTGCGGTCGGATGCTTAACCAGCTGAGCCACCCAAGTGCTCTGATTTATTATTATTTATGTGGGTTTTTAAAATTTTGCTTTTCCTAAGATTTGTACACTAAAGTCTAGAGTGTTGTTCTCTTATTTTGGAACTTGGTGAATAAGTCTGCGTTCTTTTTTATCATACCACTCTTGATTCTTTTAGTACTGTCAGTGAGTGATGTCTACTGTGTCCTTGTAATCAGGAAGCTGTCTGCTATTCTCTGCTCCTGATTTTGTGTAAAACCCTCGTGAACTGAATGCACTTCCCTGAGTCCTTTTTTGAGGTTTTCAGAGCTCCACAGTTGACTCTTCTACTCACCGCCCCCAGCCCCCACCTCCCACCCCCTGCAGTCAAAAATCCACCTGTAACTTTTTTTTTTTTAATATTTTTATTTATTTCTAGGAGAGAGAGAGACAGCGTGAGCAGAGGAGGGTCAGAGAGAGAGGGAGATAGACTCTGAAAGGGAGATAGACTCTGAAACAGGCTCCAGGCTCTGTGCTGACAGTCAGCACAGAGCCTGACGCGGGGCTCGAACCCACGTACCGCGAGATCATGACCTAAGCGAAAGTCGGACGCTTAACCGACTAAGCCACCCAGGCGCCCCCCACCTGTAACTTTTGAACATGGGTTCAAACCCATGTTGTTGGAGGGTCAACTGAATTTGCACTTGAAGCACAAATGAATCATAGTTTAAAATACAGGCAGAACATACTGTTTGCTTCTCTTACGGTGACATTCTGCATTTACTTATGTTTATTATCACGACACATTTTGGAAATAAGACATGGGCATAATTCTCTAATGACTTTGAAACCACTTTCTGATACTGTATATATTCTTTTAATAGGGTAGGGTTAATTTATTTGGTAATTTGGATTATTTATTCTGACATGATTTACTTTGTGTTTGTAGTGTTACTGATGTGAGATGTTTTTGAGAATGGTATTTTTGTGGTCTTCTAGTCTTTGACTTAAGTTAGTCTGTCATGGGGCTCTTTGAGAATCTGATGAAGGCCGGGATATGTATTGGTGTGTGTATGTGATACGATTTAAAGCAGGATTCCTGCCTGGGGTCTGCGGGGAGACAGAGTGCAGTCTGTGAGCTCCTGTAAGTTGTACACAAGAGTATTTACATTTGAGGGGCGCCTGGGTGGCTCAGTCGGTTAAGCATCCGACTTCGGCTCAGGCTATGATCTCACGGTTTGTGGGTTCGAGCTCTGCGTCGGGCTCTGTCCTGACAGCTAGCTCAGAGCCTGTAGCCTGCTTCGGATTCTGTGTCTCCCTCCCTCTCTAACCCTCCCCTGCTCACGCTCTCTCCCTGTCTCTCTCTCTCTCAGAAATAACACATTAAAAAAAATTTAAAGAGAGTATTTACATTTGTTTATATGTGAGTATTACATACACTCTGTAGAAGTGTTGTTTGTGTGTGTATTCTTTGTATACGTGTACATATATATCTTTATTATGTATTGTTCACATACACATATAAAGAGAAATATTCTTGTTTACAATTTACGGGAACTCACAGATGCTCTCTTATCTCCCCTCAGATCCCAGGGCAGGAATCCTGCTTTAAATCACGCTTAGTCTAATCTCTCATTTCACAAAGGCATATTACTTAACAAAGGCTCTTCTTTGATCCCCTGGTCATGGACTTTCCCAGCACCGTACTGGTATTATAAGCTGATGAAAATAATATAAATTTAGATTGTAAGTCTAAATGAGAAAGATGGCGTGGTCCTTCCTTTTTACTGCCAGAGTAATTATTTAAATGGGATAAAAGAAGGAAGGAAAGAATCATTGTCGTGACCACACCACCACAAGATTACACGGGTGTACAACTCCATCCTCACTACCATGCTCCTCAATTACAATAAAAGCCAAGTTAATTTTGTAATATGGAAAAGTGAATGGAAAAACTGGTGTCCCTTGAATGGTGGTTGTATGCAGTTTATCCTGTTTAATATTTGGTCTTTGCGAGGTTGTCTTTGTTTCACATCCGTGTGTTTATTCATTCAGCGTAATTATCGAGCATTTACTGGGTGCTAGTGACAGTTGGAGATACATAGCGATGCATAACCAATAAATCTCTGTTCTTCTGGATGGTATATTTCAGGGAGTATATTTCATAAGTATATTAGTGCACATATTTAATGTAATCTCAGGTAGTGATGTTAAGTACAGAAAAATAAAGCTGGCAGAGGAGATACAGAATGTGTGATATAGGGAACTGCTATTTTAGATCTGTGTAGTCAGGGAGATGTGAATGAAGTCGGTTGGGACTGGGAGGTAGGAGAGCCATGGGAAGATCTGAGGGAAAGATGGCAAAGGCCTTAGAAAAATGTTGCAAGGAAAAGCAGCAAGAGTGGTAAAGGGTAGAATGCAGAGTAGTCGTGGGTGAGGTCAGAAAAATAGAACTGGTGTGTGGAGGGCCGTGGAGGTCAGGATAATATGAGTATTGAGTTTGCTCTGGTGCACCAGACCAGTGAAACCCATTTCTGGTGGTAAGGCCTATCTAAGCACTAGTATTTTCTGTAAACTCCTCTGGTGATTCTAATCATAAGCAACCAAGGTAGAGCACTACTAGCCCAGAGAGAGAATAGCTAGAGAAGAGAGCTGGGAAGCCTTCTGCACGCAGGGATGACCGAAGGTTGAGAAGCAGGAGACAGAACTGCCAGCAGAGACCGAGGGTAGTGTATGTGGGGACCATGAAGACTGTGGTATCCTTGGAAGCCAAGTAGAGTAGGTCCTTTAAGAAAGATCAGCCACGGAGAGGCAAGATGGCGGAGAAGCAGGGAGCTCTGTACATTTCACTCACCCCCATCTGTCAAATGGAGAAGGCCTGAAGCCATAGGAACCCTTACAGAATCCAAGAATATCCAGGAATATGGGAGGAAAAGGAGACAGATTCCGCTGAGAAAACCTTATAGCGTGAGTGTGAACTGAGAAAGATAAAAACGGGCTGGGACCGGAGACTTGGAGGGAGTGGAGGGAGTCCCCTTTGCGGGGAGCTGCGGTGAGTCTAGGGGAAAAGAAAGAGCAGCGGAACTACTCAAGACACTGTCCCTGTCCCTGGAGAAGAGAAAAACCTCGGCTTGGGACACAGAGGGATCCGGTTTCCTGCTGTCCAGCTCGCCCTGAGTGGGACACACTGGTCCCAGGCGACCCCGGGAGAAACCACCCCTCTGCTCACCAGCCAGCTCAATCTGGAGGGTATGTGGCATGCCTGAAACTGCGTCACTGTGCTTCTGGCTCGGCTCGATCCCCAGTGGTGAGGCGAGAGGCTCCCAACCCTCGTCACCAATCCTCAAACCCACTCCAGGCTCCGGCCAACCACCCAGAGGGCACGCCCTTGTTTGTGGACAGGGCTACCTCAAGAAACAAGCCAAAGTGCACATGGTGGAGAGCCCCAAATACCACTACAAGTAGGGAAATAAAATAACCAAAGTCTCAACAAGAGAGACCAAGAGACACCATTCAAAGAGCACTTCCTGAATGGACAGGCCCTGGACAGTCAAAGAGTCTTCTTTAATACAGCAGCACTCCTAGGTGCAGAGTGCATAACGAGCTTTTAAAACTAACAAGAGATAGAAAGCTAACCAAAATGATGAAATGGAAGAACTCTCCTCTAGAGAAATTGCAGGAGAAATTCCAGGAAGAAATGACAGCTGAAGAACTGCTCAAAACAGGAGCGCCTGGGTCGCTCAGTCGGTTAAGTGTCTGACTTCAGCTTAGGTCATGATCTCACGGTTCATGGGTTTGAGCCCCACATTGGG